GCAATCCCCTCCATGCATCATCATTCAACAATGTGAATTGAATGATAGTTTATTTGTTTGATTGCAATTCGTTTGATTGATAGTATTTTGTTTGATTTGCTTCTATTTGCTTCTATTCCCTCTGGATTTTTTTGTTTTTGTTTTTATTGTGAATTGAGTAATAGTTTATTCATTTGATTGCAATTCATTTGATTGATAGTATTTCATTTGATTGCAATGATTACAATCCCCTCCATGCATCATCATTCAAAAGCATTTTCTTCCATTCCCTCTGTTTTTGTTTTGTTTTGGAGGATGTACACCGAAGCACTCAGGAATATATAACTATTCAAACAACCAAAGGGTGTGTACTTGTTTTTATTTTCTTAAGCTACAGCCTGAATTTGATATGGGCTACTGATGAGCTGTTCCAGTCTGTCCCTGGCCTTGTTTTGGCTGATGATGTTGAGCTATTCCACCATCTCTTTTCACAGGTGTGTTGTTGTTGTTGTTGTTGTTGTTAGGTGTCATCGAGTCAGTACCAACCCATAGCAACCTTATGCACAGCAGAAGGAAACACTGCCCAATCCTGGGCCAACCTCACTACTGTTGCCACACTTGAGTCCATCAATGCTGCCACTTGACCAATCCATCTCATTGGTGGTCTTCCTCTTTTTCTCTGACCCTCCACCTTACCAAACATGATATCCTTCTCCAGCAACTGGTCCCTCCTGACAGTATGTCCAAAATATGAGAGACAAAGTGTGGCCATCTTGGCCTCCACTTGCTGCACTTCTTCCAAAATGGATCTATTGGTTCTTTTGGCAGCCCATGGCACTTTCAATATTCTCCTCCAACACCATATCTCAAAAGCATCAATTCTTCTACGGTCTTCCTTATTCACTGTCCAGCTTTCGCACGCATATGAGGTTATTGAAAATACCATGGCTTGGGTCAGGTGTACCTTAGTCTTCTAGCTGACATCTTTGCTCTTCAACACTTTAAAAAGGTCTTGTGCAGCAGATTTGCCAAATGCAGTATGTCCTTTGATCTCTTTACTGCTGCTTCCATGAGTGTTGATAGTTGATCCAAGAAGAATGACAACTTCAATCTTTTCTCCGTTGATAAGAATGTTGTTTATTGGTCTAGTGGTGTGGATTTTTGTTTTCTTTACATTGAGATGCAATCCATACTGAAGGCTGTGCTCTTTGATCTTCATCAGTAAATGTTTTAAGTCCTCTTCACTTTCAGCAATCAAGGTTGTATCATCCTCATATCACAAGATGTTATAATGAGTCTTCCTCCAATCCTGATGCCATATTTTCCTTCATATAACCCAGCTGCTCAGATTATTTGCTCAGTATACAGACTGAATAAGTATGGTGAAAGAATACAACCTTGTTTCACACCTTTTTAAATTTTTAAACCATTCAGTGTTTCCATGTTCTATTCGAACAACTGCTTCTTGGTCCAGGTACAGATTCCTCATGAGCACAATTAAGTGTTCTGCAATATTCATACTTCGCAATGTTGTCCATAGCTTGTCATGATCCACACAATCAAAAGCCATAGTCAATAGCTAGTCATGATCCACACAATCAAAAAATCATAGTCAATAAAGCACAGGAAAACATCTTCCTGATATTCTCTGCTTTCAGCCAAGATCCATCGGCCATCAGCAATGCTATCCCTCATTCCATGGCCTCTTCTGAATCTGGCTTGAACCTCTGGAAGTTCTCTGTTCAATATATGATTGTAGCCATTTCTGTATTACCTTTTGCAAAATTTTACTCTCATGGGATATCAAAGAGATTGTTAGATGATTTCTGCATTACGTTGGGTCACCTCTCTTTGGAATGGGCACAAATACGAATCTCTTTCAATCAGTCAGCCAGATAGTTGTCTTCCAAATTTCTTGGCATAGCTGAGTGAGTGCCTCCTGTGCTGCCTCACTTTCTTGAAAAATTTCAATTTTTATTCCATCAATTCCTGGTTCCTTGGTCTTTGTCCATTTCTTTAATGCACCTTGGACTTCCTCCTTCAGTATCATTGGCTCTTGATCATATGCTACCTCTTGAAACAGTTGAACATCAGTCAATTTGATTTCTGTTTATTCCATCTGGTGAGCTTCATGTGTATAGTTGTCTTTTATGTTGTTTTAAAAATGCATTTGCAATGAAGTTACTGGTTTTGCAAAATTCTATCATGTGATCTCCAGCATCATTTCTATCATCACCAAAGCCATATTTTCCAATTACTGATCCTTACTCTTTGTTTTCAACCTTTTCACTCCAATTACCAGTAATGATCAATACAGTTAATTAAACAGAATGTGGAATGAGAAGAGAAGTGAAAATCTTGATTTATTCTAAGATATTAGGGGATTTTGGAATTCTGGTGCAGTGTTGTAGGCTAAACACTGGATCCTAAGGTTAGTTTCAACTGCAAGGTCAGTGGTTCAAACTCACCATTCACTCCTCAGAAACCTTATACAGGGTTGCTGTGAGTTGGAGCCAGCTTGGTGACAGTAACAACAACATTTAACTAGTCATGTGTCACTAAATGTGTAGGATACATTCTATGAATCAGGACATAGGATATTATGTAATTTGAGCTTTTTTTTTTTTTTTTTTTTTTTTTCCGAAAAGAGCTTTGTGCCTTTGCAGTAATCATCAATGTTCTGATGTTCTGAGAGGGATTCAGTTCTCTGTTTGTTCCTCAATCCACATCATTATCAATTTCTCCATCTAATATAGATCTTCCTAGCATTTTTGTTAGCCTTATAGGTTTCATTGGTGACAATCCTTTACCAACTTGAATAATTTTTTCTTCTCTTTTGAGTATCATTGTGACTGTTGAATGAGATGTGTGTAAAATGCATTCAATAGCATTCACTGATTTTCAACTCTGGTGTTTAATGAACTTTTGTTTCACTTTCAAATCAATCCTTTTCCTTTGCCTATTGCTGTTGCTGTCACTTGCACTGGTTTTGGTGTGTTTGGGAGTCATGGTGCACCTCATAGTAATATTTTCATAAGAAAATCAAACAGAACTCTACCACATTTGAGAAGTGATACACATAAGCCAGTAATGTTTTTGTTGTTGTCAGTTCCAACTCATAGCAGAAAACCTCATCTGTCTTCCACAGAGTGGCCCGTGGGCTTGAACCATCGACCATGTGGTTAGCAGTCCAGTGCTTATCCTACAGAACCAACATACTCCTTTTATAGATTATATATATGTACTACAACATTATATGCAGTCCTGGTGTGGCGCTGTGGGCTAATGTGTCAGACTGCAAAGTTGTTTGACTGCAAGGTTGGTGGTTCAAGCTCATCAGCTGCTTGTTGGAAACCCTATACAGGGTCACTATGGGTTGGAATTGACTCGACAGCACTTAGCAACAACAAACAACAACAACATTATATGCCTACCAGTGCATCTGCTTTGTATACAAGACATATGAAATACACGTGTTGCAAACAGGAAGCTGTTTCATTGGCTCTGTCCGTATCATCTCGATCACTGGTCAAGATTTCTTAACTGTTACAACCTTATGGGGCCATGGACTTATCTGCAGTCAGACATTGTTTGAACGGACATTATGCAATGCATGACTGTTCTTCATAACTCATGAGTTGAACTTTCCTTTTCATTTGTAGAAATGATTATGCATTGCACTGGGTGGTGCTAGCGGTTTCCTCTCAACCTACTTAAAGGTTGGAGGTTTGAACTCAATACTTTAGAAGAAAGGCCTGGCGATTTGCTTTCATAAAGATTACACCCAAAAGAAAAAACACTAAGAAGCAGTTATACTCTGTAACACATGAGGTCTCTTTGAGTAGAAATAACTCAAGTGACAACAGGTTGTTTTTTTATTTATACTGACCGAATTCTTAGGGTTTCATATTTTAATTTAAAATTCCGTCCGCATAGACGGTTAAAAAAAATTTTTTTTTCTACTTCATCTCACACATGCAGTGTAAAAAGTAGTCCTGATACAAAGGCAAGAAGTGACTGGCTTACAAGCTTTCAAGAGAGAGCCTAGATCCAGAGGGCATGGAGGAAGGTAGAAGCTCCACTGAGTAGTATTCAGTCTCTCTAGGCAGGGCTGATGAAATGAAATGCAGATGGGGCTCTTGTGATACAATAGTGAATAATTGTTATCAGGACTGACTGTGAGGGTTGGAAATGTAAAGGTAGCCGTTTTTATAGCAAGGAGGGGAGTAATTAACTTTTCAATCTAGGCGCAGAGGTTCCTGGGATCATCAAGGGAGAAGAGCAGAGAGAGCAGGACCCTATCCTGAGAAGCAGTGATGCCTGAGATGGAGGCAGAGACAATAACGTGGAGAGATGGAGCAGCTGGGGACTTTAGATCCAGAGAGGGAGAGGGGCTGTGTGCTGAGGAATGGCGGCAGGGGGAGGCAGTCTTGTACCTTGTAGAGTATACCCTTTGGTTGGTTGATGATGCATGGAGGGGACTGTAAACATGGCAGTGAAACGATATACAATAGGATGAATGTAAACTAATGTTCTCTCATGTAAACTATCACATAATTCACAATAAAACAAAAAAAGTAGTCTTGAGATCCCTTTCTTCCACAGTCCTAGCGAGTCAACAAGTTCTTAATTGGATACACCTAGGCAAAATTTGGTTAAAAATACATTTGGGGGTAGAGGAGTGGGGAGCACGGTTGTTTGTTGGTTTGTTCCCTAGTGGATGGGTTCTTTGCATTTCATTGAATCGTGTCTGCTGCACCTTGTAAACTTGGAGTTTAAGGAGCTGGCTAACGCCAGGAACCTCAGCTCTCCGTTAGCGAGTACATGCCAAGCAGCGGAGACCCACTTCCCGCCTCTCCAGACTGCAGCACACCTGCAAGGCCCTGGCCTGGAGTCATGATACGGCTGGTGCGACCTTGCGCCTGCGCAGTAGCGGAGCACGGAACGTGTGAAACTGCCAACGGTTAACCTCCGCGACCTGGCGACCTCTTCTGCCCGTCTCTTCCTCCATCTCTTGAAACATGAGTTGGACTGCGGGAGTCCTGCGGACCAGCTGGAGTGCTGGCGCTGTAGGCGCGAATTTCCTTTGCCCGGGGATGGCTGTGTGTCCTCGCCGGGCGGCAGGCATCCTGCTCAGAGGCGGCTGGCCCGTGGTCCCTGTGAGTCTGGCCGGAAGTACCTCGGGCCTGGCCTCCCTCAGGGCCTTGGGGCGCCCCCTGGAGCTGAGAGCTGGGGTTGGGGAATTGTTGTTGTTAAGTGCCTTCGAGTCGGAGCCGACCCATAGCGACCCTGTACAGGGTTTCCGAGGGTGTAAATCCTTACGGGAGTAGAAAGCCTCATCTTTCTCCCGCGGAGCGGCTGGTAGTTTCAAACCACTGACCTTAAGGTTCGCAGCCCGATTCGTAACCACTACGCTACCAGGTTGGGGAATGGAGGAAAGAAAATAAGGGCAAAGTTGGGAAGAGGACAGAGAACGGTGTAGCTGCATTTCCGCTGAAGCAACTCTCTTTCCCTCCCTTCCTTCCTCAACTCTTCCTATTGTCTGGGTCCCCCAGTGATCTTTTCTACCATCCCTGTTGAGTCTGCAGAACTTCCTACCACACCGGGGTCACGTTGTCTATGTGGTCCCTCGCTTTCTATTCCAAATCTGGAAATGAATCCTATCCCGTTTTGAAGATGCTATCTTGTTCATTGTTAGGTTTCTAAGATGGCGACTTTGAAGTGTGAACTCATTAAGAATTTTACTCCTGAGAAGGTCAGCCCTCACAGTAAGATCTCCATTGTGGGAACTGGATCTGTTGGCATGGCCTGCGCTATCAGCATACTATTAAAAGTAAGTGTGTGTGGTGTGCCAGAGGGTTGAATAACCGCACCCGGCTTTGAGTGTGAGGGGGGGTCCAGAGAAACCAGGACCCTTTTCTCATGGTTCCATCCAGAGGGCACTTCTTCTCATTCTGGTGATTGTATCGTGATGTGTTAGAGGTGTCTCTGTCCGAAAACACGTTGACATTTTGTCATGTGACGACAATATGAGGCGCTCCTCTCTCTGCGTGACTGGGAATCTCAGCTCACAAATGAAGACGCTTTTGAGACAGCTGGCAGTAAACAAGAGTCACAAGCTGTCCGTGAGGGGCAGGTGGTCTACTAATAGCAAATACAATCATCTTCCCTGTAAAACACCCTTGTTCCCTTTTCCTAATCTCTGTATTTCCTCTCCTTCTTCATGTCAGGTTAGTTTGGGTATTTAGTTGTACTTACTGGTGATGCTGACAGTTACCATCTACATTAATAGTAAGAGGCATCGGGCTAGAAAGATTCTGATCTCTTTCTAAGAATATTATCCTGAGCTGAGCCCATAAAGTAAATCATCGTAAACCTTTCATACTGCACTTCACTTTCTGAAAAATGGAAGAGTTATGAAAATTATGGAAGCCAGCTCTCTCTAGCCTTTGGGTAAGCACTCAACCATAAGGTCAGTTTGAACCTCAAGGTCGGTGGTTCAAACTCACCAGCTGCTCCTCGGAAATGCTATAAAGGGTCGCTATGAGTCAGAATTGACTCCACAGCACTTAACAACAACTATAGCCTTGACTCCTAGCAAGATTCGTTGGTTTTAAAGAATTGGCCTTCAGCTTCAAAATCTAGATGACATGTTGTTGTTATTAAGTACCATGGGGTAGGTTGTGACACATAATGATCCTGCACAGGGTTTCAGAGGCTGCAGATCCTTACGGGAACAGAAAGCCTTGTCTTTCTCCTGCAGAACAGCTGGTAGTTTCGAACTGCCGACCTTGAGATTAGCAGCCTGATTTGTAACTCCTACGCTAGATGACATAAGTATCCTTAAAGCATCAACTACTGTACACCGCTGCTCTGACCAATCAGGTGAAATCCTCATTACTCATTTTGTCCTACCAACCATAATGCCTGTATCAGTATTGTCCTCAATGCAAATTAATACATATAAATGAAAACCAACATGTGTTTTGGCGTTAATTGTAATTATTATAACAATATGTTTTAGATAATGTTATATACTTGTTGCTGTTGTTACATGCCATCAAGTTGGTACCGACCCATAGCGACCTTAGGCACAGAAGAACAAAACACTGCCAGATCCTGGGCCAACCTCACTACTGTGGCCACGCTTGAGGCCAACGATGCTGCCACTTGGCCAGTCCATCTCATTGGGGGTCTTCCTCTTTTTCTCTGACCCTCCACTTTACCAAACATGATATGCTTCTCCAGTGACTGGTCCCTCCTGACAATATGTTCAAATATGAGAGACGAAGTTTGGCCATCTTGGCCTCTAAGGAGCACTCTGGCTGCATTTCTTCCAAAACGGATCTATTAGTTCTTTTGGCAGTCCATGGCACTTTCAATATTCTCCTCCAACACCATAACTCAAAGGCATCAATTCTTCTACAGTCTTCCTTATTCACGGTCCAGCTTTCGCATGAATATGAGGTTATTGAAAATACCATGGCTTGGGTTAGCTGCACCTTAGTCCTCAAGCTGACATCTCTGCTCTTCAACATTTTAAAGAAGTCTTGTGCAGCAGATTTGCCTAATGCAATATGTCGTTTGATCTCTTGACTGCTGAAAGAATTTCTGACAGCCTAATACATACTGAAAGTGAAAAAAACTGGCTTGTGAATACATGATTGGCTGTTCTATTCACCTGTATTATTTTTTAATGTGCACTGAGTGAAAGTTTACAGGGCAGATCATCAGTTTTACAGCCAGATTTTGTTTCATTGCAATGACCACAGTCCCCTCCATGTACTTTCAGTGATCACCTTCATTTTTTAAAATATCTTTTTACTGAGAACTGAGTGAAGGTTTACAGAGCAGGTCAGCAATTTTACATTCAACAAATCATAACACTTTGTTTCATCTGGATTGCAAGCCCCTCCATGTAACTGGATTTGTTCCACTTCCTACCTGGGTTTATTTACATTCTTTCTCCTTTCCTCAGCCTTCTGAATTTTGTCCTTAGGTAAATTCTGTCCTTTTGCTCTCAAATGGTTGACCATTCTATGTTATGTGTACCTCACTAGTACTAGTGTTGTCCCTCTCTATATATCTATTGCTTGTCTGCAAATTGAGCCATGGGGCTGACTTCAGGTCAAGAGCTGAAGGGTGACCAAGGAAGGGTCAGAGTCGTGGGATTCTATGAGTCTCTATCTGACTAGTAAACCTGGACGTTTTTGATGTTTTGTTCCACATTTTCTCTCACTCTATTCAGGACCTTCTAAAGTGATTTCTTTAAGAGCAGTTGGTAGTGATAGCCAGGCACTATCTAGTTTTGGTCTCACAGCCATGGAAACTGATGTTTATGTGGTCCATTATTAGTCCATTGGACTAATTGTTTCCAAGTGTCTTCAATTTTTATCACTCTTCTTTCCTTCAAATAGGAAGAGACCAATAGTTGCACCTGAGATGGTTGCTCATGAGCTGTTAAGTTCCTAGTCTCTACTCATCAAAAGATGCTCTGGTAGTGTAGTGGCCATGAGTCGGGCTGCTAACCTCAAGGTCAGCAGTTCAAAACTACCAGCTCTTTCTCAGGAGAAGGATGAGGCTTTCTGCTCCCTTAAAGATTTGCAGCCTCAGAAACCCTATGCAGGGTCACTATGAGTCAGAACCAACTCCACGGCACACCACCACAACTACTCATCAAAGCAAGACGTAGAATATGGGTTTTGTTGCTGCTTTTAAAAGCTTTTACTGTGAATTGAGTGATAGTTTATATGGGAGAACACCAGTTTTGCACCTATCCTATTGTATTTTGTTTCATTGCAGTGCTTAGAATCCTCTCCATGTATCATCATCCAGCAGTATTTGCTTCTACAAGGAGCACTCTGGTTGTACTTCTTCCAACATACATAGGTCTTTATGATCTTCTAGCAGTCCATGGTATTTTAACTATTCTTCTTCAACACCATAGCTCAAACGCATCAATTCTTCTACAGTCTTCCTTATTCAGTGTCCAATTTTTGCATGTATATGAGGGGATTGAAAATACCATAGCTTGGATCAGGTGCACCTTAGTCCTCAAACTTCTGGGGTTACAACACATTTTTTAAACCATCGTTCAATGAAAATTTCATCAATAGTATATACTTTTGCTCATTCTACTCCATTCTCTGTGATAATTCAAATCATCTGGAAAACTTTAGCATCTCATTCAGCTACCACCTTTTTTTTCTGATACAGCTAGCTTTCTAGGCTAATCAATTATAATCTACTTTTAAATTTAAAATGCTTAGCTTTGGGTTTCTATTGATTAGAATAAGATGATATGAGCCAACAGTATATGGTGTACTAAAAGAGAGCTATTTCTAAGTACTAGCACAAGTCTTTTTATTCTTCAATGAAATTTTATTTCATAAATTTAGAAAATGTAATATATTCAAAGCCTAGAAAATATAATGTAAAAAGACATATATGGCGAAGCCACATTTTCATCTAGTTCCCATCCACCCTTTCTCCCAACTTTCCAGTAAACTCCATTAAACCAGTTCCTGGTAAGTCAGTTCTGACTCATGCCCACCTCATGGGTGTCAGAGTAGAGACGTGTTCCCTAGGGGGTTGTTTGTTGTTGTTTTCAGAGCAATTCAGTGTACCATCAACAGTTCTTCTGTGTGTATTGTACTGATAATCCATAGGGTTTTCAGTGCTGATGTTTTAGAAGTAGATTGCTAGGCATTTCTTTTGACGCACTTCTCAGAAGTGCACATTAGGCAACCATGTAAGTCAGTTTCTTGGGTATCCTCTAGTGTATCTTTTACAGATAAAAGAAAATACAGTATGTTATTATTTTCCCTCCTTTCTTGCAATTAAAATAGCATGCCAGAAATATATAAAGCAAAAATAAACAAACAAACCAAACTTATTGCCATCGAGTTTCCCATAGGGTTTCCCAAACTGTTTATCTTTATGATAGCAGAAAGCCAATCTTTCTCCCAAGGAGTGGCTAGTAGTTTTGAACCACTGAAGTTTTGAAGCAGCCTGATGCCTAACCCACAGCACCACCAGTAGTCCTTGTTGTTAGATGCTATTGAGTCACCTTTGATTCACAGCGACCCTGTACACACAGAATGAGACACCGCCTGGTCCTGTACCACTTCAGTCCATCTTGTTGGAGGCCTTCCTCTTTTCCAAGTGTGATGTCCTTTTTCAGGGACTGATCTCTCCTGACAACATGTCTGTCCTCACTTCCAAGGAGTATTCTTGCTATACTTCTGATGGCCCATGGTACTTTAAATGTTCTTCAACACTGCCATTCATATGCATCAATTCTTGTCTTTTCTTCCATCCACTATCCAGCTTTCACTCTAGCAATTGAAAATACCATGGTTTGGGTCTTGCACATCTTAGTTCTTAAAGTGACATATTTGCTCTTTAACACTTTAAAGAGGTCTTTTGCAGAAGATTTACTCAATGTAATACTTCATTTGATTTCTTGACTGAGGCTTCCATGAGCATTGATTGTGGACCCAAGAAAAAGGAAATCTTTGATAACTCAAGCTTTTCTCCATTTATCACAATATTGTTTATTGGCTCAATTATAAGGATTTTGTTTTCTTTACATTGAGTTGGAATCCATACTGAAGGCTGTATTTTTGTTGGTCATCACATAGTGCCGCAAATCCTCTTCACTTTCACCAAGTAAGGTTGTCATTTGCAGGCTGCTGATAAGCCTTCCTCCAATCCTGATGCAGTGTTCTTCATACAGTCCAGCTTCTCACATTATTTGCTTACCACACAGATTAAGTATGGTGAAAGAATACAAGCCTCACATATACCTTTCCTGATTTAAAACCACACAGTATCCCCTTATTCTGCTCTAATTACTGCCTCTTGGTTTATGTACACATTCCCCATAAGCACAATTATGTTCTGGAATGCCCATTCTTTGCCATGTTATTCATAAGTGTTATGATCCACACAGTCAAAGGCTTTTGCATAGCCAGTAAAGCACAATTAACAATTTTCTGGTATTCTCTGTTTTTGATTTAGAGCTATCTGATATCAGCAATGATATTCCTTGTTCCATGTCCTCTTCTGAATCCAGCTTGAATTTCTGGCAGCACCCTATCAATGCACAACTACAACCATTTTTGAATTATCACCAGCAAAATTGTGCATACATGTGCTATTAATGATATAGTTTGATGATTTCAGCATTCTGTTGTTGTTGTTGTTAGGTGCCATCGAGTAGGAACCGACTCATAGCGACCCCATGCACAGCAGAACGAAACAATGTCCGATCCTGGGCCAACCTCACTACCGCTGCCACACTTGACGTCATCAGTGATG